CGTTTTATTTCATTAAGTTGGTCTTCAACTTCTGATATCCTTTCTTCTGCTTGATCCATTCTGCTATTTAAACTTGTGCATATTTCACTAAGTTCTCGTGTTGTATTTTTCAGCTCCGTTAGTTCATTTATATTCCTTCAGAAGGTGGATGATAAGAAACTTCTGGGAATTAAAAGAACTTGTTCTAACCCAATGTAAAGAAACTAAAAACTTTGAAAAAAGGTTTGACGAAATGCTGAAAAGAATAGACAATATAGAGAGGAATCTCTTTGTAATTGTAATGAAATAACATTTATGAGAGAAATTATATTCCTCATATTAAATGCCTATTTGCACACCTTGAACAAACTACGTTTAATGTGACCAAAGTTTTTAATGTGATCAAAACAAAATAAAAAATACTCCTAACTGAATAGCATATAGCAAAACTTGTGATTCAATCTGAGAAAGCTGACTGAAACATAAAATGGTATGAAATTTCGTCACGGAAGTTCTTGGAAGTACTTATAGTCTTGATACAAAAATTAGAAAAAAAAGTTCGCAAATTAACAAATGAGCTATGTAATGAAACAAAACCAAAGAAATTAGAAGAAAATAAAAGCCAAGTTTATTAAGCATGGAATTTAATTATTAAAAAAACCTTATAAAGGATTAACAAAGCCAAAAGTTGACTTAATATTTACAAACTTCTGGTAATATTGATGAAGAATAAAAGACAGATGAATATATGAAAAACTTTAAAAATAAGAAACAGAATTTAACTATTGAAAGAGTAGAAATTGGAAGGTTAATGAAAAATAATATGAACAAATTCATGGAGTAGAAATTAGAAGGTTAATGAAAAAGTAATACAAACAAATCCATGCCAAAAAATGGAAATAAGTAAAATGAACAAATTCTTAGAAAACAAAATTTACACAAGGAAAAATAGAAAACCTGATTAGAATTATAATGATAAAAAGAATCAAATTTGAAATTTAAAATATTTCTACAAAGAAAATACCAGGCTCAGAATGTTTGTAGACAAATGCTACCATTCATAAAGTATATAATTCTGTTATACAAACTCTTCTAGATAATAGCAAAGGAAGCATTCTTCAATTTATTTTGTGATGTCATAACTCTAATGCCAAAATTAGATAAGGACCAGAAGGGGAAACACACAAAAAAATTACATGGATGCAAAATTCCTAACCCCAATATCAGTAGACTATATCCATTTGTGGGTAAAAATATGACGTGCCACACTAAGTTAGGTCTATTCTCAAAAATCAAGGAAGGTTTAATTTTAAACTTCTTGGTTTCCATAAAAGATGGTGAATTAGCATGAGTTTCTTTTTCCCCACAATAACTCTGGAGAATCTCCCAAAACGAGGTGAGATTATTGATATGATGAATCGACGTAACTACTACGAGAAACCCTGAGAAAGCAGATTTGAACCAGTGCAAGTTGGCCTGTGGCAAAATATTTTGGGGTGTGTGTGTGTTGTGTCTTTTTGTTTTGTTTTCTACAAAATTCAGGTTTGGAGCAGCCAGACACTGCAATGAGAAGATGGCGTTGGAGAATAGTTTATAGCTTATACTTTTCTTCCTCCCATACATTGCTTTGGGATGATCTCTGTCTGCCACATTTACCCATACATGATCACCAAAAGCCCAGGCTAGATGATGTCAGCTGTGTCTAGCAGCACAGCATTTAAGCTAATTACAAGGAGAAGTTGATGGAAAGAAGTGCAGACTGATCAGATATCCCCCTCTGCCACTTCCAAACCCTCAGGTAAGGAGAGATGCTTCCAGCTTCAGCTTAGATACATGTAGAGAGCATTGAAGTCATCACTCACATCCTCACAGTAAGCAAAATGCTAAACAAACTGAAAACCAGTGATTCCTCTTATATCTATCAGATAGCTGAGGTCACAGAACACATTGCCACCCTGAAAACTGGATTGGCAGGTGGATACAGAGAATCACAGGCAAGACCAGCTAACCAGGAGCAGAAGCTTCTGGAGCTAGTAATTGGCAGGAACTCTTACATGGTGATTGACACATTGTAGGAGGCAGATCATGGACTGGCTTAAGAGTAAGACTGGGGCCACAATTTTAGGGAGGTTTACCTCCAGGAACCCCACCAGGTTTTCACAGTGAAATCAGAGAAAAATCCCTTTGTGCTTCTGGCAGAGGTAGGAGAAAAGTAACCATTTTGAAATATGCCTGGGAAAAGTTACTATTTGAAATATGCCTGGAGTGTTCTCTAAAACAAAGGCTTGCCTTCAAGAGCAATGCTTTACTAAAAATTTTTCTGACTTGGAAGAAAGGCAATTAGACAACTCCACCCCCTCACCTAGGAATGGAGAAAAAAAGCTAAGAAATGCCTCTGAAGATCACATTCCAGGCACTGAAACCCATTAAAAACTTGAAATTTAATTATAATATTATAGATTATTATATACCTCCTCTCCTCAACATGTATTACTATATCAATAGGACTCCAGAAGAATGACAGTGGATTGCAACTAAGAGAGCTGCAGGACTCCCTTTAAGGAGGAACTCTTCTTAAACATACTCTACTTAAGAAGAAATTCTTAGGGATCCCAAAGACAACAGGGAAGCCATAAATAAAACAAAACAAACACACACACACACACACACACACACACACACACACACACACATGGAAACTAGAGGAAACTGAAGCCTACAGCACCTGCAGCTATAACAAACATTAAGCACAGCCTAGCTCCTAGAGATTAACATGAAAGCTTGCAGTAAAGGTCTGATTACCTCAGCTCCTATTACCAGATACAGCATGTTCAGCTTTCAACAAAAAAATTACACAACATGCTAAAAGGCAAAAAATAAAAAAAAATACAGTCTGAAGAGATAAAGCCAGCATCTGTATCAGTCTCAGATATGACAGATTTTGGAGTCATCAGACAGCAAAGTTAAAATGACAATAATTAACATATTAAGGCCTCTAAATGAATACACAGACAACATGCAAGAATTGATGGGTAATATAAAAAGAGAGATGGAACTCTAAAAAAGAAAAGAAAATGCTGGAAATGAAAAATGCTCACAAAAATAAAGAATGCCTTTGATGGGCTCATCAGTAGACTAGACACGCCCAAGGAAAGAATCAGTGAGCCTGACTATAGGTCAGTAGAAACTGCCTGCAACAAGTCCTGTTTCTCAACTACCCCAAGATCTCTGCCTAATGATTCTTACTCAAAAAAGTATGCTCTGACTTCATACCATGCTCTGGAGTAGATACAAGTCTCTATTGAATGCTTTTATAATAGTCTGTAGTTTTCCTTAATAACATTTAACAAAATTGTAATTTCAGGATTATTTTTGTGTATATGCACTACCATCCATGATTGAGAAACTGATACTAGACTAGCCTATCCAAGAGAAAGAAACTGTACATCCAGAAAAAAATATTTTTTCCAGATGATGGACAGCATGCAATACAGAACTCTAATCCCCAAGTGAAGGGAAACAAAAGTGGGCCCTCAGTACCCCTGGCTTTCTATCTGGAGGCATTTTCCAGACCAGTGACATTAGTCATTTGAAGAGTTGAGAACATTGCAAGCAATGTCAATAGTCAAATAATATGGCAAATGATTTTAAGTGGTTTTCCTTGGCTCTTGATGAGTCATTGATGTTAGTGATACTACTCAGTTGTTGTTGATGAGTTAATATCATTTGAAATGAGTGAATAATTGGCCTCTATAAATAGATTGTATGGAACCAACCACAAGCAAGAATATTTTCAAAGAAAATACTAATTTAGTAAACCCAAAGTGAAATCTGCAAAAATGTGTTCCAACTACTGGTAGTAAAAATATGTAAAGAACTTTTGTTTTTTGAGAAACAGTCTCACTCTGTCACCCAGGCTGGAGTGCAGTGGCATTATCTTGGCTTACTCCAACATCTGCCTCCTGGGTTCAAGTGATTCTCATGCCTCAGCCTCCCACGTTGCTGTGATTACAGGCCCAGATAATTTTTGTATTTTTAGTAGAGACAGGGTTTTGCCGTTTTGGCCAGGCTGGTCTTGAACTCCTGACCTCAAGTGATCCACCTGCCTTGGCCTTCCAAAGTGCTGGGATTACAGGCATAAGCCACTGCACCTGGCCTAAAGATCTTTTACTGAGGCTTGGTTAGACAAGTTTACCAAATTTAAGGTGTTTAAAACCTGTGGTATTCATCAGCAAGAAATATGTAAGTCTGTCTTATTTGAACAAGTAATGTCAAAAGTGAACTTCATTTGCTCTTATGGACTTAACTAGTCAACTCTGTGATTTTTTTCCCAGAAATAGAAGCCAAATATCCTGACTAGCTCTGTCACACAGCAGTTTAATGACTTAGCAGTAATAAAGTTTGACTACAATTTTTTAAGCTCAAGGCTGGGCGTGAAATTTTTCTGAATAAGAACTTTGTTCAACCACTATTATTAAACATGGAATGGCTAGAAACTAGCTTTTGCTGCAAAGTTTATGTTTCTTAATGAATTCAACCAAATATTTCAAGGCAAATCAGAGTTTATATGCAAAGCTTATTCTGCTGCAAAGTCATTTCAATGACAACTAATATTTGAATCACAAGTAATGTGAAAATGCTTTACATATTTCACATGCTGTCCAAGTTTAAAATAAGAAGTGATAACTCCATTCTCACAAATATTTCCACACATATGGATTCTGAGCACAAACTCCAGTTCCAACAGCATTTTTTAGATCATAATGCAAATGCAAAAGATGCAAATGCAGAAGAAATATACATATTTCAAAATTCACTTAACAGTACAACTGAGGAGTGTCCACCCAACCCTTCTGATCATTCTGCAATGTAACACTGTGCTGAAAGGCAAACACCCAAAGAATCTGATGAAATTCTGTAAATGACTTCCAAGCCATGAAATTGCCCAATTGAATAATATGCTTATGGACAGACAGCAGCATTAGACAATACTTATCAGGGTAAAAGAACATTTCCAAACATGAAATACATAACATTTTTATTACAGATTGGCATTAACAGATAAGCATTTGCAATAGGCTCTTTACAACAAACTTAATTGAGATAGAATTCACATATCATGCAATTCACCCATATAAAGTGTACCATCTTTATATAAATTTACATTCCATGCAATTCACCCATATAACGCCTTGTAGTATATTCAGAGTTATGGAATAATTAGCATGATTTTAGAACATTTTCATCATTCCAAAAAGAAACTCCACATCCATTAGCCATCGGCCCACATTTCCTCCAATTCTCTAAAGCCCTTGGAGATCGATAATCTACTTTGTCTCTACAGATGTACTTATTCTGAAAATCACATATAAATGGAACCATATAATATGTGGTCCTTTGTTACTGGCTTCCTTCACTCAGCATGTTTTCAAGGTTGACCCATGTTGTAGCATTTATTTATTCAGTGTTTTCTTTCTTTTTATTGACAAACAATATTTCATTATACAAATATGCTGCATTTCACCTATTCATTCATCAGTTGATGAACACTGGGTTGCCTCCACTTTCTATTATGAATAATGCTGCTATGAACCTTTGTGTACACATATAAATGTTTTCATTCTCTTGGGTATAAATTTAAGAGTGGAATTGCTAAGTCACATGATTATACTATATTTAATCTTTGAAGTAAATTCCAGTCTGTGTTCCAAAGAGGCTGCACCATTTTATACTCCCACCATCAGTGTATGAGGGTTCCAATTTTTCCACATCCTTGTCAACTCTTATTAATTTTTATTAAATATTATAATGAGCTTCATCATTGGAGGGTGCTTTCCAGGGAATTCTCTAAATTTGATCTTTGCTCAAAGAAGTAATTTCTTAATTTTAGCATCTCCTGTTGTCTTGATGCGACTATCTCCAAAACCATCAAGCCCTGGATCCTTTTTGTTTAATGGTCTTTCCTATAGTTTTTTAATCTCTCCTCATATTTTACTACAATCGAGAAGCCAGATGGCACCTTCAACACTCTGCCAGGAAATCTCTTTAGTGATATCATATTAGGCACATGTTTTACTTTTAGTCTGCCACTATGTAAGTTCTTCCTTCCTCCAGTTTTCCAATACTTAACCTTGCTTTTCTAAAAGTCCTCATCTACAGTCTTGTCAAAGACTATGATGCTTCTACAAGTAGTTTCTTCAAAGCACTTTAGGTTTTTACCAGCACATGCCTACTTAACACCCACTGCCAAGTTCCAAATCCACTCCCATATTTTGGGTTTTCATTATAGCAACTCACCTCTAAGTACCAAGTTCTGTATTAGTTATCTATTGCTGCATAATAAATTACCCTAAAACCTACTGGTTCACTTACTAACCCAGAGTTTCTGGGGGTTAAGAAGCCAGAAGTGAGTGGTTTAGCTAGTTCTTTCTGGCTCAGCGTCTCACATGAGGTTATGGGCAAGTAGTTGGCTGTGGCTGCAGTCTTATTTGAAGGCTCAGGTGAAGGATCTACTTCTAAGCTCACTCACATGGTAGCTCGAAGGCCACAGTTTCTTGCTGGCTGTTGGCCATGAGCTTCAGTTTCTTAATACATGGAACTCTCCATAGGCTAAGTGTCCTCACAATATGGCAACCGGCTTCCCAAAGGTCAAGTAATTCAAGAGAGTGCATGCCTATGCAGAAGCCGCAGTCTTTTCATAACCCAGTCTTTTAAGTGACATGGCCTCACTTCTATCATATTCCATCAGAAATGAGTCAAATTATTTTTTTCCTGCTGAAACAATTGACATTTCCATCCATTTCTGGAATGGTCACACTTTCTGAAACGTTTTTTATAATATCTACTTTAAAGTCTTTCTCATAATTCCAACATCTGTGTCATCTTGGGGTTACTGTCTGTTGTGTCTTTCCTTTGAATTGTTGAAAATTTCCTGATTCATGTATTTCATGTGATTCTGCATTGCATCTTGGATGTTTTGAGTATTATGAGCCTCTGGGTATTTAATTCTTCTGGAAAATGTTGGGGTATTTTTTTCAGCAGTCAATTTAACTGGCTGGTCTTGGTCGCCAGTTCCAATCCATCTCCTGTGGGCTGTGGTTCTAATGTCAGTCCAGTTTTCTAAGTATTTTCAGTGCTATCTGGATCTGTCTTATATGCCCAATGTCAGACTGAACAATTACCAGGTCAGACCTACACATATATAGAACAAATCGCATAAACAACTGTATGAGATCACTTTCTTGAGCTTCCTTATCTTTCACTACCTTGTTGCCTTCCAGATCTCAGGAGCCACTTCCTCTTCCCAGTCTTCAAGTTAGAAACCCAAGGGTTTCTCCTCTCTGCTAATACACCTAATGAATACATCACCTCCAGGTCCAAGTAGCAGGAAGATAGTGAGGGAAGAAAAGCAATGGGGATTCTCCTAACCCTTTTTGTCCCACAGATCCTCTAACCAGAGTGAAGGGTTCCTAACTTTGAGGTGTAGATGCCTGCTCAGCCATCACTGTCCTCATCACAAGAATCCCCAGGAGTGCCACAATGATCTTGTTTCAAATTACAGCCTGTTACCATTACTTTCGAGGGTTCCCAGACAGCTGCTCCATGCATTAGTTACATTTAGCATGAAAGATAAAGTGGGGCATGCTTATTCCATTTTAAGTGGAACCAGTACCAACCAAAGTTACTTTCTTTCCATTGATTACATCCCCGGAAGATAAACTCTAAAACAGGAACTTCCTAAGAATATAAAGGGAGAATTCTGATAGAAAGATTAATATTCAGTACTTTATCCAATCAATTTTTGCATTTTTATTAAAAATTTACATATATAGAAAATTTTTTAAACAACCAACGAACATTTCTACATCCACCACAAAAAAACAGTTGACTAATTTTGTAAATATTTATTTGAAAATATGCTGCAGACATCGTGACTTTTCAAACCTAAAAAAACTTCTGCATGCATCTCCTAAGAATTAGAACATTATCCTATATAACTCAATTATCACTTCTAGAAAAATCAACATACCACATTTTCTAATACCCATTCCATCTTCATATTTCCCCAAATATCCTCCCACATGTCTTTTATAGGTTAATTTTTTTAATGAATCAGAAGCTAATAAAAGATCACACTTTCCATTTAGTTATGTCTCTTGTCTTAATTTAGAAGAGACCACTTTTTGTTTTATTACATTTGCTTTTTGAAAAGTTTAGACCTGTTGTTCTGTACCAACTCTGGATTTGTCTATTTCCATACTGTGTAATTTAACTTGTTCTTCTATTCCTTGTATTTCTTTAAACAGGAAAGTAAGTCTAGGTAAGAGATTTAATTAAATTTGGGGGGAACATTTTTGGCAATACATCAAGGATGATCACATATGCTTTATACTGAATCCCATCAGGAGCCACATAATGTTGGCTCATTCCAGAAGGAGTGAAATGCAGTTTGACAGCCAAAACTTATTGTAAAGGCAATTATTTCTTCTGAAACTTTTTAAACCAAGTTCCTTAAAACCTTTTTCACCTAATGGGTTTTACCATACATTTTTGCCAGATTTAATTACATTAAGGATTTAAAATGGTAACTTTTTCCAAATCTATCATTCTGTGTACATTTAAAAGACATACTTCAAATAATTTTATAAAGTTTTTTTCTCTACTTTCATCATTATGAACTTCTTTTCCTTCTTAATATTATTAGCAATATCAGTGATTATTCTTTTTTATTTTAAGTTGTCCTATATTTGGTCAGTTGGCTATCCCCTTCTGACATTACCCCATTAGTCTTCAAATACTATTTTGCTTATTTTCTTAATTAAAAAAATTTTAGTCACACCACCCACTTCCCCTGCTCCAAACATGGAATCAGCTATTTCTCCAAGGAACCCTGGTTCCTTTTAGTGGGGAATGGCACTTAGAAACCAAAATTTGGATACTAAGCAAGCTCACCACTATTGGGTACAATGTTAAATATTGAGGTCTGTTTAAACACCTCATTTTCTTTGTAATGTATTTAAGTACATAAAACAATTACTTTCTGATAAGCTAAAACCAGTCAATTAAGGAATATACTATACTAAATGCTTGAGTTTAATTCTGTATCTTTCTCAGAAGGTCTAGCTAATTGTATTAGAATCTTTTTTTTGTTTAATGATACCAACTGTTAATTGAATGAAAGTCAAATATAAAATTGGAGGAAAAAGGCCTGGAGGGGAATTAAACATTTAAAATGATGAAAAGAATGCCTAATAATAAAGTCTTCATATATAACTACACAAAATAATTCCTAAAATATGTGTAATAAGAAGGCAACCTTATAGGTGGAGCCTCCAAAAACACTATCTGGAGCTCAGCTAGCTTTAAGGATTTAAGTACAATTATAATAAAAGCAAGCATAATTAGGGACTCATAAGAAAAAAGAATATAGTTATGAGTCAATTATTAAGATTAAGGCGAGAGGAAACCCTTAAAGATAAAACAATAACTTTAAATTACTGCAACTATGTCTAACCAGGCTATAAAGCAAATAGTTCTCTTGGAACCTCAGGTTAGAAATGAGCCTATAATTATCTCAAAACACCAGAACCGAATACCTAGATTCTAGTCTTGGAACTTCATTAAGTTCCAATTCTTCATTAGTACAGTGAAAGGTTATAATTAAACGAAAATCTCTCCTGGTTCTAATGAGCTACCAGACACATAGCCTGAGATTCTGCCAAATATATACCTTCTGCAACAGATAACAAAGTATGTTCATTACAGTTTTTCCAACTGCTTCAGTTAATGCAACTTCTACCCTACTATAATAGTACTCTGTTCAGTTATATAAAACCACATCAAATTAGGAAATAACAGAAGAAAGTAAAAGAAACAGAGTCTACCTTTGGGCATAATTCTAAGAACTAAATTCTAAATTAATAAAACTACATTTTTTAATAATAAAGGACTTTTGAAAAAATGTTTCCCAAAGCTGCATGTGTATGTGTATCCACACACACACACACACACACGCACACGCACACGCACACGCACATACACATATATATGTTTGTTTACACATATAAGTTGCTGGTGGGAAAGCTCATAAAAACAGCATTATTATTTCCACATAAAGAGTTAAATTTAAAGAATTTCCTTTTTATGTTTAGCTTCTCTTTATGAAAAGGAGTGCTTCCTATGTTGGCCCACTACTTTAACAAAGGCTGTGAACTTATTCACATTATTAATAACTCAGTGACTGTTTTTAAAAGAAATTTCACATATTGAAGCTTACTCTTATAAAGGGAATATGGTCTTATGATATAAGCAATATGTATATTCAACTATTTTTCATAATTTTTAAAAAAGTTGGGCCTTTTACATTTTTTCTATGAATTAAAAAATCATTTATAGGATTTTAGAAACATTAGAATTTATGGTTCTTTTTTTTCTTTTTTTTTTAACCCCATCAAAACTGGCAAGCATGGCCATAAACCACAACATGGTTCTTTTAAAACTTAACAAGCAGTGCTCTTCATAACTTCACTAATCAATTTTACCATTACTTAGTGGCAACTAACATATTTTCTTCAGAAGTAAAAAAGACTTAAATCTATTAGGAGTTTGCACCCTACTTATTATTCTCCTTATTCCCCAATGAGAAGTCTTGGATTATTTGAGAGATGAACTAAACCTCATAGGCCTTATCTCCTCTAAGAAATCTCTGATACTGAGTAAGTGAGGAGCTGCAGATGGAAGGTTTCCCATATTCCTTCCATTTATAGAGTTTCTCTTTAGTGTGAACTTTTTTGTGTCTACAAAGGTTTGATCTGTAACTGTAGGCTTTCCCACATTCTATACATTTATACAGTTTCTCTCCAGTATGGATCCTCTCATGTTCAGTTAAAAATGAATACTGGCTGAAAGCCTTTCCACACTGATTACACTGATACGGTTTCTCTCCAGTATGAATTCTCTGATGCCTATAAAGGTTAGATTTGCAACCAAAGGCTTTCCCACATTCATCACATGTATAAAGTTTTTCCCCAGTATGAATTTTTCGATGTTCATTAAAGGACGAATACTGGTTGAAGGCTTTCTCACATTCGTTGCATTGATAAGGTTTTTGTCCGGTGTGAATTCGCTCATGTTCAATAAGGGTTGCAATACGTGTGAAGGTTCTCCCACATTCCAGGCATTTATACAGTTGTTCTCCAGAATGAAATCTCTGATGTTCAGCTAGAGATGTAAACTGGCTGTAACCTTTCCCACATTCACTACATTTGTAGGGTTTCTCGCCTGTATGGATTCTTTGATGCCTGTGAAGTTTTGCTCTACAGTTGAAGGCCTTTTCACATTCACTACATTTATAGAGTTTCTCTCCAGTATGAATTCTCTGATGTACAGTGAGGGTTGAACACTGGCTAAAGGCTTTACCACATTCTCTACAACGATATGGTTTCTCTCCGGTATGCACTCTCAGATGTTTAATAAGGGTTGAACTGTTGCTAAATGCTTTCTCACATTCATTACACTTATAAGGTTTCTCTCCAGTATGAATTCTCTGATGAGAAAGAAGGGATGATCTGTGGCTGAAGGTTTTTTCACACTCATTACATTTGTAGGGTTTCTCACCTGTATGAATTCTCTGGTGTTCAATAAGATGAAGATTCTGCTTGAAGCTCTTCCCACATTCATTACAGATGTGAGGTTTTCCTCCTGGGTAAATTTGGAAGCATTTCATGAGATCAATATTCTGTTTAAAATCTTTCCCAAATGTATAATACATATCGGGTATCCTTTCTACAGGAACACTCTGTTGTGTAACGAGAGCTGTATTTGTAAGTAAGTTTTTCTCCAATTCAAGACTTGTATGGTTTCCATCTTCACTGATGGTTTTCTCATGTGAGACTATCATTTGCCTAGAAGGTTTCTTTTCTTGTTCCTCTTCTGTCCTGCTCTCAAATTCCACAGCTTCTTCAAAGTTAATGTCCCAGTGACCATACTTAATGAATTCTTTCTTCATCATTCCCTGCAATGTTTCTTCTATAAAAATATCCTGCCGATGAGGCAATGCTTCTGTTTCAGGCCAAGTCTTGAAACCTAAAATGCATCAGAAGAATTAATGTCTCCTCTGCTGGAAGAAACAAACTGATGTATCAGTGGGACAATAAAATTGGTAACAGTATATATAAAAGAAAAGTGATATAATCAGATCTCAAATGCTGACTTGAATCTTGGGAAGAACAGGATGGGATATAGGAAGAGAGGTAAATAGGTTAAGGAGTGGCATGGGAGGATACACTGGACAAATTAGCAATGAAAATGAAGAGATTCCACCCAGGGTGTAGTAAAGTTAGACAAAGAACAGGCTGAGTAGAAGATATGAGGATACAGAAAAATGTCGAATGATAAGCCCAAGGTGAATACCATGGGATATTCCATTCTATCATCATTTTCCATTCTGCATATACCAGGCAATGAAGCAGGCAGCTTGCCTACTTTCTCCTTCTTACTCACATGTCCCTTTCATTATATTTTCTCCCCATGCTCTCTCTGAAACTGTATACCCAATAATTTTTTAAATATTTGAGTTGGTTTTCTTAAATTTCTTTATTTCATGTGACTGTAATTTTATATCATAGTCTGCAAAGGGGGAAACAGTCTGTTAAAAAGAGGACAGGCTCAATGGGGTGGCTCACATCTGTAATTCCAGCACTTTGGGAGGCTGAAGCAGGCAGATCGCTTGAGCTCAGGAGTTTGAGACCAGCCTGGACAACATGGCAAAGCCCCATCTCTACAAAAAATACAAAATATTAGCTAGGCATGGTGGCACATACCTGTGGTCCCAGCTACTCAAGAGGCTGAGGTAGAAGGATCACTTGAGCCTGGGAGGCAGAGAGTGCCGTGAACTGTGATCACACCACTGCACTCCAGCCTGGGTGACAGAGAGTCATCTCAAAAAAAAAAAAAAAGGAGTCGGGGACATTCAGGTTTTGAAAATGATAACAGCCCTGCAGCATGACTGTGATGATTATATGTGATTTAAGTTTTGGATTCTCATTATAAAAAAGAGGAAAATATGGAGTAAACCACCCATGTGCAACTATCTAATCCCTGGTGATTGGAAGAATAACAATTTGTTTCATATTCCTTTTTTTTTTTTGTGATGGAGCCTTGCTCTGTTGCCAGGCTAAAGTGCAATGGTGTGATCTCAGCTCACTGTAACCTCCGCCTCCCTGGTTCAAGCGATTTTCCTGCCTCATCCTCCCAAGTAGCTGGGACTACAGGCGCGCACCACCATACCCAGCTAATTCTTGTATTTTTAGTAGTATAATTCTTGTATTTAGTAGTATGTTGGCCAGGATGATCTCAATCTCCTGACCTTGTGATCCGCCCACCTCAGCCTCCCAAAGTGCTGGGATTATAGGCATGAGCCACTGCGCCTGACCTATATTACCTTTCTTTTTATTTTCCCCTTTTTATTTTATCACAAAGAGAGACATATTCATTTTGTCTAATAAGCTGCAACCAAAAAACTGCACTCTCTTTGTAGGAATCTCTTGAGAATAATGAAAATCTGCAGGAGATTTGAAGTCAATATGTCTTAAAGTCCTGAAATATGCCCAAGCCCCAAGCTCAGCTTTGATTCTCAGTGAACTGTTCTCTGTTAAAACCTGATTTCCTTTCGTCAATCCATGAGAGAAAACAGGTTAACATTAGATAATTACAATTAGGTAATTGTGTGTAGATAATTACAATTAGGTAATTGTGTGTACTTTAACCTATACAACTCAAATAAAATAAAACTAACCCTTAGCATCTCAGTATGGCTCCATATTTCCAAGATTTTCCCAAGAACTGCCTCTTTGTGACCTGCTCATCTATAAAGACTCTCTTGTGCCCATTTCCCAGCCTCTCACTTACCTAGACAGGTATTGGAAGGGACGTCTCCTTCCACTGTGCAGGGATCTTGTCCTTGTTGCAACTGATGAATCACCTTTGGCATTGAAAATGGAATCCCTGCTCATGAGGAAGGAAACGAAGTTTGAACAAATAGCATGAAGAGCAATCCAAGAACTCACAGACCACTCACTCAGAACTTACACAGCAAAGAAAGCAAGCCCTGAGAGGCAGAGAAGGCAGCACAAGCACTTCTCAGTGGTAGTGGAGCTGCCAATGGGTGTGGAAGGTCTCAGTTCAGAAACATTATAGGGCCCTGGCAATGAATGCCTCTAAGTTGGGGGGTTCCTAAGTGTTTCTCAGAATCTAAAGTGGGATCTAGTCATTGACCTACTCCAAGGAGGAAACTGATTAGTGGTGGAATGTGAGGGGACAGTAAAGGAAGGAGAAACAAATAGCAAGAAGGGCATCACAACAAAAATGTACAGTTTCAACTCTACAGCAATTCAACCTTTCCCAGGGGCTCAATATGGTTAAAACTGCAGGCTCAGAACCCCAAAGACAGACCTGTGAGGTGTTCCTGTAACAGATTCTTCATTATAGGCAGTAATCCTTACCCAGTGAGACAAGAGTGCTGTAGTTCTCCAACATCACCTCCCGGTACAAGGCTCTCTGGGCAGAGTCCAGGTGCAACCACTCATCCTGGCTGAAGAACACAGCCACATCCCTGAATGTCATGGACTCCTGTAACGGCAAACCCATTCCTGTTCATCCAGGACCATCTTCTTCAATGGAAGACGCAGTAAGAAAGTGACAGTGGGATGTATAGCAAGCAATTCAGAAAATCTCAGGATTCTAAGTATTTCACATCAACCATTTATGTAATTTTTGGAACCACTCATTAACTATTTAAACAAGTATTTATTAAGTACTCATTGGGAACAATGACACATGCCACATGCAGTGGGAGTAGGGGAAATAGGCAAAGTCCCTGCCAACAAGGAATTTAAATACCAGCCTGGGATCTTTCTCAACAGAAGGCAATGTAACGACAGAAGCAAAGATTGGAGTGCTATGCTTGGAAGATGGATGAAAGAACCACAAGCCAAGGGCTACAGGGAAACACTAGAAGGTGAAAAGGGCAAGGAAACAGATTTTCCCCTGAGAGCCTCTAGAAGGAACCAGCCCTGTTGATAGCCTGACCTCAAGCCAGGAAAACTGATTTCAGACTTCTGACTTCCAGAACTGTAAAAGAATAAATTTACATTGTTTTAAGATGCTGAGTTTGTGGTAATTTGTTATAACAGCAATAGGAAAGAAATACAATGTGAACAATTGAAGACAACCTACATATCTATCAATAAGGAAATAAATAAGCAGATTACAGTACATTTATTCGACAAAATGTTATGCAGCCTTTAATATAATTAGGTAGATCTGTGTGACATTGGAATTTGACCTGGACATATTGTTGATTCATATGAAAAAGCCAGCCACAAAACGATCTATATTTGTTAAAAATTCTACATCTGTATGTACATATGCATGATGCATACAAAACTCTCCGGAAGAATACAAGCTGTCACCCTCATTATTCTTTGATATTTGTGGAGAGGGGCAGAAAAGCAATCTTTCACTTATTACTTTATACCCTACCATTAGGCTTACAGTGTTTTACAGTTAGGGAGATTGTATGTATGTATGTGTGTGTCTTCCTTTGCTTTGAATTTTCTTAAATTCCATTTTAACTTATATGTTGACTTTTTAGTTAGACCTCTTTGCATTTTTAGTGGTTACTCTAATAATTATAGTAGTTTTGGTTACTCATCATCTATTTAGAGCTAATATATCATTTCACATTGAATGCAAGAACTTTGTGAGTATCACCACCACCTTTCTTTATGCTACAGTTGTTACAAAGATTATTCCCAGTTCATAGAGTTGACAGTACTTAACCAAATTTCACTGAGCATATTCATGTTAAGATTTACATTTAAAGGCAAAGGGTACAACACAGCAAGAGAAAGAGAGTCCAGGGAAGCACTGGAAAGCCAAGAGATACTCCATGTGCCGTCTCCCTTTATTTGCACAGACCACTCTACATCTCTGGGTCTGTGTGAAGAATCTTTGTGTGGGAGAGCTCCAAGGAGGAACTCTTAGCAGGGGTCTTCTATGTAATCAAGCAAGCCCTATCAAATCATTTAGGCCAGTTGCAAGCCATCATTAAGGAAGCTTAAGGGTGTAGCCAGTGGCATTGGGATCTTAAAAATACACAAGCCAGGCAGGGTGCAGTGGCTCACGCTTATAATCCCAGCACTTTGGGAGGCGGAGGCAGGAATCACCTGAGGTCAAGAGTTCGAGACCTGTTTGGCCACCACAGTGAAACCCCATCTCTACTTTAAAAAAAAAAAGGTACAAAAATTAGCTGGGTGTGGTGGTGGGTACCCGTAATCCCAGCTACTTGGAAGGCTGAAGCAAGAGATATTACTTGAACCCGGAAGGCAGAGATCACACCACTGCACTCCAGCCTAGGTGACAGTGGGATACTCAGTCTCAAAAAACAAACAAACAAACAAACAAACAACAATAACAACAAAAACCCACACAAGCTGATGGCCAGGTTCAGTGGCTCACACCTATAACCCTAGCACTTTGGGAACCCAAGCTGGGTGGACTGCCTTAGCTCAGAAGTTCAAGACCAGCCTTGGCAACATGGTGAAACCCCATCTCTACTAAAAATACAAAAAATTAGCCAGGCGTGGTTTCATGTGCCTGTAGTCTCAGCTACTCAGGAGGCTGAGGCATGAGAACTGTTTGTACCCAGGGAAGCTGCAGTGAGCCAAGTTCACACCAGTTCACTCCAGCCTGGGCAACAGAGGGAAACTCTGTCTCAAAAAAAAAAAAAAATCCAAGAATCCCCAGAAATAAAAATAGAGCTTTTTTCAGAGAAAAAGAGAGACCTTTCCCAGTCCAGATATGTATGTATGTATGTATGTATGTATGTATGTATGTATGATGCATACAAAACTTTTATGTTATGTTTACATTACGAGATGTAAATAAATTCTATCTTCACAGTTGTTATTTGCACTATAGCTACCTACGTTGTAAACCCTCTACTATAATACAATAGTATTATTTTGCTTTAATCAGTCAGCTGCATTTTAAAGAAATCGAGGGAAAAAATGTATTTTATATTTATCCAGATAGCTACCATTTCTAATGCTCTTCATTATTCCTAAAATCAGAGTTCCCATCTGGTATATTTTTCCTTTAACTTGTGTAACTTCCTTTAGCATATCTTATAGAGCAGGCTTGCTGGCAATGAATTAGCTTAATTTTATTTTACTTGAAAATGCCATTATTTCATCTTCATTCTTGAAGAGTATTTTCATTGGATGTAGAATTCTGGGTTGAATTTTTTTCTCTTTCAGCATTTAAAATGTCATTCTATTGCTTCCTGGTCTTTGTTGTTTCTGATGAGAAGCCATTGGTCATTCAAATATTGATTCTCTGCATGTAATACAATTTATTTTCTGCCTGCTTTCAAATCTTTGGTTTTTGTGATTTCTCTGACTTTTCCCAATATGGTAGAGACCAGCTAGCTACATGAGGCTACTGAATATGTGTAATGTGGCTTTTCTGAATTGAGACATGTTATCTGTATAAAATACATACCAGATGATTTACTTAAAAGTATATACACACACACACAACATATACATACCTATGCAAACATATATGAAAGTTATCTCAATAACAATTTTATATTGATTACCAGTAGAAATAATATTTGGATATACAGGGTCAAATAAAATACATCATTAAAGTTAATTTATTTGCTTCTGTTTATTTTTTAATGTGGCTGGTGAAAAATTTTATGTTAGGTATGTGGCTTGCATTCTTGGTTCACACTATATTTCTACTGCATGCCACTGGTCAATGATGTGTGTAGCTATGACTTCCTTTGTATTTATCCTGCTTGAGATTCATCAAATGTTATAAACTGTAAATTTATGTTTTTTACCAAATTTGAGAAACTTTAGGCGATTATTTCCTTTTAATATATTTTACCCCAGTCTCTGTCCCCTCTCCTTCTAGAACTCTAATTTCATGTATATTAGATCTTTTAATATCATTCAGTTGGTAACTGAGGCTGTTTTTTCTCTTTTTTTTAGATAGGATAATTTCTATCAATCTATCTTCAAGTGTCACTGACTTTTCCTAATGTTCATTTCCAAAAGTTAAGCCTATACAGTGATTTTTTAAAATTTTACAATTTCAGGTATTTTATTTTTCAGTTCTAAAATTTCATAGTCTAGAATTACTTTTTTTCACAGTCTCTATTTTGTTGCTTGCATTTTGTATTGTTTCATTCTTTACATGTATATTTTCCTCTAAGTCCTTGAGCACAGTTATAATAGCCATTTTAATATCTTTATCTGTGAATCCCAACATCTGGGTCATCTGAGTCATGGTCTCTATTTATTATCTTCCTCTTGAACTTTGGTTGCACTTTCCCATTTCTACATATGCCTACCTCATCCTGGAAGTTGTATAGTACACAATGTAGAAACTCTGGATTTTGTTAGGTTCCTTTGAAGAGTACTGATTTCTTTAAGCAGGTAGTCAATTTAGTTGGACTTAAATTCCAAACTCGGACACCCACCTCTCTAATGGACAGCATTGAATATCTCTATTCAATTCTTATTTGGGCTACTTTGAGTCTGTCCTGTGCATGTATGGTTCAGGGGTCAACTAAAGATTTAGGCAGAGGTTGTGCACAGAATTTGGGGCTCCCCTTCTCTGCCTCTCTCCTTTCCAAAATTCCTCCTCTCGCGTTCCAGTTGCTAAGTTTGCCTCAAACTCTATCTTGTGATTCTTCACACCAGTAAGACTGCAGGTTTGTGACCAAGTTTTGATCATTCTGTTGGTGCTGCCTGTGGCATACTCCCAGGCAAAAAGCTATAAAAACCAGAAAGTTTAGCTGCTGACAATTCCTTCTTTCAAATATACACAGGTGTCCAGTATCTGTCTGCTTCTGATTTCTCTCTAGTACCTTCAGGTTTCTTATATTTTATCCAGAGTGTAGTAGTAATCCACAGATGAATTAGTCTGTAAGGAGCTATTTCTCTATTACCAGAAGCTGGAAGCACATGTATTTTCTTGAAAATATATTTTAAAAACTCAGTGGGGCCGGGTGTGGTGGCTCAAGCCTGTAATCCCAGCACTTTGGGAGGCGGAGGTGAGTGGATCACGAGGTCCAGAGATCGAGACCATCCTGGTCAACATGGTGAAACCCCGTCTCTACTAAAAATACAAAAAATTAGCTGGGCATGGTGGCGTGTGCCTGTAGTCCCAGCTACTCGGGAGGCTGAGGCAGGAGAATTGCCTGAACCTGGGAGGCGGAGGTTGCGGTGAGTCGAGATTGCACCATTGCACTCCAGCCTGGGTAACAAGAGCGAAACTCGGTCTCAAAAAAAAAAAAACTCAGTGAGCCTGGCAAATCTCATTAAATATTAAGAAATAACAAAATGACAGACTCCTAGAACTACAGATCTCATAGACATCTCATCAATCATCTCATCCAGTTGTTCTCATGGATGTGTGGTATCTCCCCCTACCTCTCCAGAGTGAGTAGAAATGTGTGAGGTTGTTTCATTTCTCACGGTGACTAAGGGGGTCCTACTGGCATTTAAAAATTGAGATCAAGGCTGCTAATCATCTGGAAATGGACAAGAAAGTACTGCATAATGAAAGATAGTTCCACCCAAAATGCTTATCATCTTCTCACTTAGAAACATTTGTTGTCTAAACTATATTTTTAAAATACAAGATGAGAATCTAGGTTGTGGCAGATGGCTTTATAAGAAGTTTATAAGAAATGTGGTTTCTCAGTTTTCTAGCAATAAATTGACTTTGGCTCATTTACACAAGGGACCAGGTAGCTCCAGGAAAACTAGGCTTGGAAAATGAACACAAACTGGGGCAGCAATATTCTGGACCACAGCCAGGATCACACTAGGAAACCAGACTTGTGAGAGTACTGTTGTCATGGAAAAGTAGATGGTACAGCCTCACCAGCACGAGAGAGCCACTGCTTTTGCTCTGCTGCTTCTCCTTCCTCCACAAACTCAATATTACTGATGTTGCCACAAATTACCAGAGTACATCAGAGGTTACCAACCTTTTTGGCACCAGGGACATGTTTCGTGGAAGACAATTTTTTCCACAGACAGCAGGGTTGGGGGAATGATCTCGGGATGAAATTATTCCATCTCAGATCACCAGGCATTCTATTCTCCTAAGTAGTGCACAAACTAGGTCCCTCACGTGCATAGTTCACAATAAGATTCACGCTCCTATTGAATCTTATGCTACTGTCGATTTGACAGGAGGCGGAGCTCAGGTGGTAATGCTCGCTCACTTACCGTTCACTTACTGCTATGCAGCCAGGTTCCTAATAGGCCAGGGGCTGGTATCAGTCTGCAACCCCCGGGGTTGCAGACCTTTGTTCTATTCCTGTTTTCCTCGTATATCTAGCTCCTGATGAAGTAGGTCAAGCTTGGGTCACAAGCCTATACTTTCTCTATAATTAAAGCTAAAAATAAATGCAAATTAAATACAATCACGTCAGGAAAAATGTTTAAATTGAAAACAAAACAAAACAAGGTAAATCAGACTAAATTACTCAAGACAACTTTTGTTCCATTTTTAGAAATATATTCCAGAATGTATATCCAATTACACATACATGTGTTCTTTTGACTATTTCTAAAACAACATGAAAACAGACACATGAAAAAGAAGAGAAAGAATACAAAAGAACACACAGTGCAAAGTTAAGTATTCCCTTCCAGCTCCAATTAGCAGTCACATTCTACAGGTAACTAGCAATACTTTACACATGTATTCTTTTTTAATGGAAAAATTCTCAATCATGCTTTACTCCCATTTGATGGATCTGTATCACATCCGCATATGAATTTTTTTTTTTTAAAAGAGACAGGGTCTCACTCTGTCACCTAGGCTGGAGTACAGCAGTGAAATTAATCATAGCTCACTACAGCCTTGAACTCCTGGGCTCAAGTGATCTTCCCACCTTAGCCTCCAAAAAAGCTGGGACTAAAGATGTGTACCTCTATGCCCAGATAATTCTCTTTGTTTTTCTGTAGAGCCAGGGTCTTGCTATGTTGTCCAGGCTGGTCTGGTCTTAAGTGATTCTCCCTTCTTTCTTTTTTTTTTTTTTTTTTTTGAGATGGAGTCTTGACCGATTCAAGATGGAGCAGTGAGAACAACCCAGGATTGAAGCTCTCCGTGAACTTGCGGAGGGTGAGTCAGGGCCGCATTTCCAGACGGATCTTTGTTGCCCACAGAACGGGGATATTCCCAGGTATAAAAGAGATGCGGGACGCCAGCGCAGTGGTTTTGGCTGGTGCAGCCGGCGGCCGGCGCTACAGCACACTGGGGCTCCACAGTGCTCCGCACAAAGCGCACTGGTCCGGATACCCTGTTTAACTGGCAATTGGAGACTTGAGAGGGCAGATTGGCATATCCATCTGATTGAACGGGACTTGGACAGTGAGCCAGGCCAGGAGATTTCAGGGAAACGGCGTTTGGGCCAGCACAGTGGGGCAAACGAAACAGTGATTCCAAACGCTCTACGTGGAGAGTTTCACTGCGGGCACAGCTGAACCCAGGACGGTGCAGCTTGGTGGGGGAGGGGCGTCCGCCATTACTGAGGCAATCCGCCCCTACTGAGGTTACACTACCATTGCTGACGCAACCTGCCATTGCCGAGGCAACCAGCCACAATAGAGAGACTCCGCCGCAGGGCATAGCCCGTGGCAGCAGGGTGGAGACCGCAGCGGCAGGGAAGAGCCTGCAGCAACAGGGCGGACCTCACACCAGCAGGGCGGAGCCTCGGCAGGCAAATAGTGACTAGACTGCCTCCTAGCTGGGCAGGACAGCGCAACGGACACTCATAAAGAAAGCCCCAACCCCCCGAGACAGAGCATCTGAAAAAAAAGTATTTTTCTTTATGAGTTCTGCTGCAGTAGAATTAAACATAGCAGCCTAACAGCCCTGAATGAACAACAGAGCTTACAGCTCAGCACTTGAGCTCCTATAAAGTACAGACTGTCTCCTCAAGCAGCTCCCTGACCCCTCTATATCCAGAAGACTGACATTTGGCAGGCATCATTCTGGGACAAATATAGCAGAAAAAGAAACTGGTAGCATCCCTCAGTGTTCCACAGCTGCTATAGGTGCACCCCAGACAAGCAGGGCCTGGAGTGGACCACAGCTGTCGTACAGTGGAGGGGCTAGACTGGTAGAAGGAAAACCAAGTAACAGAAATACTTCATCATCAACAATTTGGGCGTCCACTCAGAGACCCAATCGAAAAGTCAGCAACTACTCAGATGACAGGTGGATAAATCCACAAAGATGGGAAGAAACCAGCGCAAAAAGGAAGAAAACACCCGAAACCAGAACACCTCACCTCCTACAAAGGACCAAAACTCCTCACCAGCAAGGGAACAAAGCTGGACGGAGAAAGACTGTGACAAAATGATGGAATTAGACTTCAGAAGGTGGATAATCAGAAACTTTTGTGAGCTAAAAGAACATGTTTTAAATCAATGCAAAGAAACTAAGAACCTTGAAAAAAGATTTGAAAAAAGATTAGAGGAAAGGATAACAAGAATGGATAACTTAGAGAGGAATATGAATGAACTGAAGGAACTGAAAAACACAATACGAGAACTTCGTGAAGCATGCACAAGTTTCAACAGCCGAATTGACCAAGCAGAAGAAAGAATATCAGAAGTCGAAGATCAACTCAATGAAATAAAACAAGAAACCAAGATTAGTGAAAAAAGCGCAAAAAGGAATGAACAAAGTCTCCAAGAAATGTGAAACTATCTGAAGAGATTTAACCTACATTTGATAGGTGTATCAGAATGTGACGAAGAGAATGAATCCAAGCTGGAAAATACTCTTCAGGACATTATCCAGGAAAATTTCCCCTACCTAGCAAGGTAGGCCAACACTCAAATGCAGGAAATACAGAGAACACCACAAAGATATTCTGCAAGAAGAGCAACCCCAAGGCACATAATCGTCACATTCACCAGGGTTGAAATAAAGGAGAAAATACTAAGGGCAGCCAGAGAGAAAGGTTGGGTCCCCCACAAAGGGAAGCCCATCAGACTCACAGCAGATCTCTCGGCAGAAACTCTACAAGCCAGAAGAGAGTGGGGGCCAATATTCAACAACCTTAAAGAAAAGAACTTTCAACCCAGAATTTCATATCCAGCCAAACTGAGCTTCATAAGTGAAGGAAAAATAAAATCCTTTGCAAACAAGCAAGTACTCAGAGATTTTGTCACCACCAGGCCTGCTTTACAAGAGCTCCTGAAAGAGGCACTACACATAGAAAGGAACAACCAGTACCAGCCATTCCAAAATCACACTAAATGCTAAAGAGCATCAACATAATGAAGAATCTACATCAACTAACGGGCAAAACAGCCAGCTAGCATCAAAATGGCAGTATCAAATTCACACATAACAATATTAACCCTAAATGTAAATGGACTAAATGTACCAATCAAAAGACACAGACTGGCAAATTGGATAAAAATCCGAAACCCATCAGCGTGCTGTATCCAGGAAACCCATCTCACATGCAAGGATACACAAAGGCTCAAAATAAAGGGATGGAGGAAGATTTACCAAGCAAATGGAGACCAAAAAAAAGCAGGATTTGCAATTCTCATCTCTGATAAAATAGACTTTAAAGCAACAAAGGTCAAAAGAGACAAAGAAGGCCATTACATAATGGTAAAAGGATCGATACAATAAGAAAAGCTAATGATCCTAAACATATATGGACCCAATACAGGAGCACCCAGATACATAAGGCAAGTTCTTAATGACTTACAAAGAGACTTAGACTCCCACACAATAATAGTGGGAGACTTTAACACTCCACTGTCAATATTAGACAGATCAACCAGACAGAAAATCAACAAGGATATCCAGGGCTTGAACTCAGACCTGGAACAAGCAAACCTGATAGACATTTACAGAACTCTCCACCCCAAATCCACAGAATATACATTCTTCTCAGTACCACATCATACCTACTCTAAAATTGACCACATAATTGGAAGTAAAGCACTGCTCAGCAAATGCAAAACAACTGAAATCATAACAAACAGCCTCTCAGACCATAGTGCAATCAAGTTAGAACTCAGAATTCAGAAACCAACTCAGAACCACACAGCTTCATGGAAACTGAACAACTGACTCTTGAATGTTGACTGGATAAACAATGAAATGAAGTCAGAAATAAAGAAGTTCTTCGAAACCAATGAGAACAAAGACACAAAATGCCAGAATCTCTGGGACACATTTAAAGCAGTCTCTAGAGGAAAATATATAGCAATAAATGCCCATATGAGGAGAATGGAGAGATCCAAAATTGACACCCTATCAACAAAATTGAAAGAGCTAGAGGATCAAGATCAAAAAAACTCAAAATCTAGCAGAAGACAAGAAATAACTAAGATTAGAGCTGAACTGAAGGAGATAGAGACACGAAAAACCCTTCAAAAAATCAATAAATCCAAGAGCTGGTTTTTTGAAAAGATCAACAAAATAGACAAACCACTAGCCAGATTGATAAAAAAGAAAAGAGAGAACAAGCAAATAGATGCAATAAAAAATGACAAAGGGGAAATCACCACAGATTCCACAGAAATTCAAACCATCATCAGAGAATATTACAAACAACTCTATGCACATAAACTAGTAAACCTGGAAGAAATGGATAAATTCCTGGACTTCTGTGTCCTCCCAAGCCTAAACCAGGAGGAAGCTGAAACTATGAATAGACCAATAACAAGGTCAGAAGTTGAGGCAGCAATTAAGAGCCTACCACACACAAAAAAATCCCAGGTCCAGATGGGTTCACAGCCGAATTCTACCAGACACACAAAGAGGAGCTAATACCATTCCTTCTGAAACTATTCCAAATAATCCAAAAAGAGGGAATCCTTCCCAAATCATTTTATGAGACCAACATCATCCTGATACCAAAACCCGGAAGAGACCCAACAAGAAAAGAAAACTTCAGGCCAATATCCATGATGAACATAGATGCAAAAATCTTCAATAAAATATTGGCAAGCCGATTGCAACAGCAAATCAAAAAACTTATCCATCATGATCAAGTAGGATTCATTCTGGGGATGCAAGGCTGGTTCAACATACGCAAGTCTATAAACGTAATTCACCACATAAACAGAACCAAAAACAAAAACCACGTGATTATCTCAATTGACGCAGAAAAGGCATTCGACAAAATTCAACAGCCATTTATGCTAAAAACCCTCAATAAACTCGGTATCGATGGAATGTATCTCAAAGTAATAAAAGCTATTTACGACAAACCAACAGCCAATATCATACTGAATGGGCAAAAACTGGAAGCATTCCCTTTGAAATCCGGCACTAGACAAGGATGTCCTCTTTCACCACTCCTATTCAATATAGTACTGGAAGTTCTGGCCAGAGCAATCAGGCAAGAAAAAGAAATAAAGGGTATTCAAATAGGAAAGGTGGAAGTCAAATTGTCTCTGTTTGCAGATGACATGATAGTATACCTAGAAGACCCCATCGCCTCAGCCCAAAAACTCCTGAAACTGATAAGCAATTTCAGCCAAGTCTCAGGATATAAAATCAATGTGCAAAAATCACAAGCATTCCTATACACCAATAACAGACTTAAAGAGAGCCAAATCAAGAACGAACTGCCATTCACAATTGCTACAAAAAGAATAAAATACCTAGAAATACAACTCACGAAAAACGTAAGGGACCTCTTCAAGGAAAACTACAAACCACTGCTTAACGAAATAAGAGAGGACACAAACAGATGGAGAAACATTCCATGTTCATGGTTAGGAATAATCAATATCGTGAAAATGGCTATACTGCCCAAAGTAATTTACAGAATCAACGCTAACCCCATCAAGCTACCACTGACTTTCTTCACAGAACTGGAAAAAACCACCATGAACTTCATATGGAACCAAAAGAGAGCCCGCATAGCCGAGTCAATTCTAAGCAAAAAGAGCACAGCGGGGGGCATCACACTACCGGATTTCAAACTATACTACAAGGCTACAGTAATCAAAACAGCATGGTACTCGTACCAAAACAGAGATATAGACCAATGGAACAGAATAGACATCGGAGGCAACACAACATATCTACAACCATACAATCTTTGATAAACCTGACAAAAACAAGCAATGGGGAAAGGATTCCATGTTTAATAAATGGTGTTGGGAAAACTGGCTAGCCATGTGTAGAAAGCAGAAACTGGACCCCTTCCTGACACCTTACACTAAAATTAACTCCAGATGGATTAAAGACTTAAACATAAGACCTGGCACCATAAAAACCCTAGAAGAAAATCTAGGTAAAACCATCCAGGACATAGGAGTAGGCAAGGACTTCATGACCAAAACACCAAAAGCATTGGCAACAAAAGCCAAAATAGACAAATGGGACCTCATCAAACTCCACAGCTTCTGCACGGCAAAAGAAACAGTCACTAGAGTGAATCGGCAACCAACAGAATGGGAAAAAATTTTTGCAGTTTACGCATCTGACAAAGGGCTGATATCCAGAATTTACAAAGAACTCAAACAGATTTACAGGAAAAAAACAAACAAGCCCATTCAAAAATGGGCAAAGGATATGAACAGACACTTTACAAAAGAAGATATATATGAGGCCAACAATCATATGAAAAAATGCTCATCATCACTGGTCATTAGAGAGATGCAAATCAAAACCACATTGAGATACCATCTCATGCCAGTTAGAATGGTGATCATTTAAAAATCTGGAGACAACAGATGCTGGAGAGGCTGTGGAGAAAAAGGAACACTTTTACACTGTTGGTGGTTGGTGGGAGTTCAACCATTGTGGAAGATAGTGTGGCAATTCCTCAAGGCCTTAGAAATAGAAATTCCATTTGACCCAGCAATCCCATTACTGGGTATATATCCAAAGGACTATAAATCATTCTACTATAAGGACACATGCCCACAAATGTTCATTGCAGCACTGTTTACAATAGCAAAGACCTGGAACCAACCCAAATGCCCATTGATGATAGACTGGACTGGGAAAATGTGGCACATATACACCATGGAATATTATGCAGCAATCAGAAATGATGAGTTGGTATCGTTTGTAGGGACGTGGATGAATCTGGAGAACATCATTCTCAGCAAACAGACACAAGAACAGAAAATGAAATACTGCATGTTCTCACTCATAGGCGGGTGATGAAAAATGAGAACACATGGACACACGGAGGGGAGTACTAAACACTGGGGTCTATTGGGGGGAAAAGGGGAGGGCCAGCGGGGGTTGGGGGGAGCTAGGGAGGGATAGCCTGGGGAGAAATGCCAAATGTGGGTGAAGGGGAGAAAGGAAGCAAAACACACTGCCATGTGTGTACCTATGCAATTGTCTTGCATGTTCTGCACATGTACCCCAAAACCTAAAATGCAATAAAAAATTAAAAAAACATATATTTAAAAAAAAAGAGATGGAGTCTTGCTCTGTCGCTCAGGCTGGGGTGCAGTGGCATGATCTCGGCCCACTGCAACCTCTGCCTAATGGGTTCAAGTAATTCTCCTGCCTCAGCCTCCCAAGTACCTGGGACTACAGGCACATACCACCATGCCTGGCTAATATTTCTTTTATATTTTTAGTAGAGACAGGGTTTCACCATGTTAGCCAGGATGGTCTCAATCTCCTGACCTTGTGATCCACCTGCCTTGGCCTCCCAAGGTACTGGGATTATAGGTGTGAGCCACAGCGCCTAGCCAAACCTCATTCTTTTTGATTACTGAATGATATATTCCACTGTATAAATACCAAAACTATTTTCACCATTTTCCTTATTTAGTATTATTTAGATGGTTTCTGTTTTTTGCTGTCACAATGCACAATGACCAATCTCATGTAGATATCTCTGGGTACACTTATGTTCATAAGATAAACTGCTAGACACTGAAGTACTGGATCAAAATCTATGCACTTTTTTTATTATGTTTTATATTTTGAGACGGAGTATTGCTCTGTCACGCAGGCTGGAGTGCAGTGGCATGATCTCAGCTTATTGCAACCTTCACCTCCCAGGTTCAAGCAATTCTGCTGCCTCAACCTCCTAAGTAGCTGGGATTACAGGCACACGTCACCATACCCAGCTAATTTTTGTATTTTTAGTAGAGATGAAGTTTCACCATGTTGGCCAGTCTGGACTCAAACTCCAGATCTCAGGGTAATCTGCTTGCCTTGGCCTTCCAAAGTGCTGGGATTACAGGCTATGCATATTTTTAATTCTGACAGTTGTGGAAGATTATACTTTCCCAAGATGACCACACCAATTTCTCTCCCATCTCACATGCTCTTTGTATAATGTGACACTGACATATCTCCCACCAAGAAGTGAGTTCTGTGTTTCCTTCCTTTGAAGCTATCCAGTGGAATTC